TTCCTCAAACCTGACCTTACTTTCAGAGCACAAAACTACCCCCCAAACTGTCCCTACAATGCCAATAGTGCCTCAGATGAAACTGCCCTCTTGAGTGCCTACCCCCTCTCCCAGCGTTTCTATGGTGCCAACTGTCCCAAAGTGCCAAGGGCCCCCTCGGCAATTATGGCCCCTCCTCTTTAGTGCCACAGAGTGCCCCTCAGATCTCCAAGGGGCGCCACACTGTTTCCTTGGTTGCCCCTTCCAGCACTGAGCGCCCTCGCCTGGCCGAGAAGCGGATGAGAGGGACGGGGGAGGGGTTGGCCACGTCAGAAGTTTGCCCTTGCCCCGTCGAGCCGAATCGGGGACCCTGGCCCCGGGACAGCGCCAGTGGCGGCGACTCCCGGAAACCGCCCCCTCCCCCGCGCCCCGCCCGCCGGCCGCCCGGCCGCCCGGCGGGCCGGCCCAGCCGGCTCTGTCAGCGCAGCTCACACGAGGAGCGCCGGGGGAGCGGGAGCGGCGCCCGGCCCGGCCCCTTCCCCCTCCTGGCGGCTGTGGCTGGGCCAGGGCGGAGCGCGCTTTTCTAAGAATCTGTTGTACCGGGTGGGGGGCGCACTGGGGTGCCGCGGGAGTGGGGCGCCTGTTGGAAGAATACAGCAGGAAGGGGTGCCACAGTAGACCGGGAAAAGGCAGGCGCGGGGGAGGGACCAGGGTGGCTGCCAGGGACGCGGGTGGGGATGAGGGCTGGGAAATAAGAGCCTGACTGTGGATGGGGGGGGGGGACCTGGGATGGCAGGACTAGGGGGCTTAAAGCAGGAAAAGAGAGAAAATGCAATACTCTTTCCAACCCAGTGTGAGCTCCTCTCCCCTGTGCCCCAACCCCAAGCGCCCCATTTCTAATGTAGCCACCCCCAAAAAAGAAAAAAGGGGGGATAGGTTTCTGAATCCGAATCTGGCCAGCGGCAAAAAAACTGATTAAGTGTAAAGTGGGGAGTACCCCCAAAACAAGGGAGGAGGACTTTTGATTAGTCAACTTCAGGCTGTCAGGCTCCCCCTTCCTCCTCCAAAATCCGAAAGGTCCCAATTAAGTCAGGCCTGCCTGGTTGGTAATTAGAACCAGAAGTGGCCAGGCCACAGGGAGGGAGGTTGGGAGGAGGGCACAAGAGGAGTGGGGGGAGGGCTCCAGGAAGCCATGAGTCCTCACTAGCCCCCCTTTCTCTCTACCAGACTGCACCCCACTCCTCCTCACCCCATCAGTGTGTTTTTCCCAAGCATTGCAGGGAAAGGGGGCCTTAGGACCAGACCTACCCTTCCCATCAACCCCAACCCCCATTCTAGACAGACAAGTGGAGCCTTGGGGTGAAGTTAAGAGGTTGGGGGATACAGTGCCCCCTCTTTCCCCCAAAGTCCCCCCAGCCCTTATTGCAGCAATTAGACCCATTAGCCTTCTAGCATTTCATGGGAACCAGATGTTCTCCACCAGCCTGGTGGGAGTATGAGAGGGGCTGCTGCCTGACTCACCCCCTTCCCTCTGAGCCCCACCACCAGGGCACATCCCCTCCCAGCTAGAGCCCCACAAAGGCATGGTCCCAGAGGCAAAGAGGAGTGCACCCTCCCCCACTACCAAAGCCATAGCACTGAGATTCTTGCATGGTCACTCCAAGCCCCTACCACTCTGGCAAGGATGAGTTTGGCTAGGACAAGCAGGAGTAGGGCACAGCAAAATCCTTATCCACTCCTTTCTCCTACTCCAGCCACCTTCTGCATAAGGCTTTAGGATAACTGGCTCTGAATTCCTCATGCTAAATTCTCCCTTTTTTCCAAAACTTCCCTCAAAAAAACTGAAAAGGGGGCATTTCAAAGTAAAACAGGTCCTGCCCAGAAGAGTAAGTCCCAACTAGGAGTCCCACCTGAAGGGCAATGGGAGGGGTTCTCTGGAGAAGGAGGCAACAGAAGAGCGGGAGAATAGGGAGGTGCGAATGCGGGACAGGGCCCAAGGCAGGACTTGAGGAGTGAGGAGCGCTGGGCAGGATGGGGGCTGGGACTGGGTAGGGGGCCAGGAGAGGGGGGTGCAGCCCGGGCCCCAGCGGCGGTGGCTTGCCCGGCTCCCCCCACCGAAGAGGTTTCCTGTTGCAATCAAAGCCCCGTTTGTGTGTCGGCCTGGAGCTGGAGCCGGAGCTGGAGGAGGAGAGACCGGGTGGGGAGGAGAAAGGAGGCAGCCAGCTGGGGCTTTTTCCTGGAGGAGGCCTCGCTGCCATCCACCGGCCACTCTTACCCGCATGCTAGTTCTCCCTGCCTCTGTGTCTTCACCTTTGGGCCTGCATAGCTGACCCTCATCTTCCTTAATTCTGGGAGGCTCTCTTTTTCAGTTTCTCATAAGTAGGACTCTTTTCCCTGTGCCAGCCTGCCTGCATTTTCTCCATGTGACTTAGTGTGGTGCTCTGAGCCCCTTGTTCTAGGGACAGTGGCCCCGTGGCCACAGTAGTGACACCAGATTCAGAGGAAAAGCTGGGCTGGGTCCTCAGGATCACAGCCATCTCCTCAGGAGGGGGAAAAGGGCAAGGCTTCCCTTCCCTCTTATCACGCTCTGTTCTGTGAATGAACCAAATATGTAGCACACCAGCATTCACAAACTTGGAGCTACACAGAGACACAGACAACAAGGGTTGCGTGCACCTACACAGGCATACACACACACACCCTCTGCTTTCCACGTGCACAGGCCTGTGCTTGTCCGGGCACCACATGCTCCCCTCACATCTCCCCTCCTCTACCATGGGGCTCTGAGACACCTGCCTCACCCCTTCAGGCCTCAGCACCTGGGAGGGGAGAAGTGCCAGGCTCCTTTACAGACCACCTTCTGTGCCTTATTCTATATGGGAGAGGGTAATGAGAGAGGTACAGACTCAGAGTGAGTATGGATTTGATATCAACTCTAGGTCTCTAATCTCTCTCCATTATATGGTCCCAGCCAAAAAGAGGGACATCAGCTCAGAGAAATGAGAGAGGGTGCTTTCTCACCCTTTGACCACTTGCCTACTCTGGAGTTTACCAGACTCCAGAATCCCTTCCTTTCCCCTCATCTCCTTCTGAACTACCACTAGGTGCTGTGTGCCCCACCTCCACTTCAGCTGTGTAGAGACCCACCTCCAAGCCTTCCCCTCCCCTCCCCACCTCCCTGCCCAGACCTGTCCCTCAGTGGTAGCCTAGCCGCACCCTCCCCAGCTACCTGCCTAGGTTCTGGCTCCTCCTTAGATTACTCCTTTCAGCCTCCCTCCTTCAGCACAGCTTTTGGGGATGGATCCAAACCTGACCACTTCCCCTACCTTGGCCCCACTTTGAACCCTGACCTTGATGTCAGTGTTTCCAGGGCACAGGAGCAAAAGGAGAACTTCCCTGGGACTGACCTCTAGCTCTCAGCATTCTCACACTACCTTCTCTTTCTCCTCTCCCTCTTTACTCCAGCTCCTTTAGTTGCCTCTCCCAGATCCTGGGAAAATCAAGTCCCAAGAGGTTAAGTGGTATGGTTCTCTGCAAGGAGTACCTTTATGTGGGGAGGGTAATTTCTTCCCACTTCTCCAGGCCCCTGGGACAGATTCATGGGGTGAAAATGAGGTAGGGGGAAGCCCAGTTGAAGTTTCCAGAAAGGGGGCTTTGTGCAATCTTGTTCACCTGCATGCCACTCAAATAACCCCTGTTGGACAACAGACGTGCCACTGGCAGTCCTCACCAAACACCAGACACACCGTCAGCAGCCCTATTAAATACCTCCTCACCCCTCACACTGACTCTTTGTTGCACATACTGGAATTCTGTATATGAGCAGAATCCCAGAGACATGCCGTGTGTACCATACAACTGCATATGGTCTAGACACACACACACACACAAACACATGCACGCACACACCCTTTCTCCAGATGAGCACACTCTTTCCAGTGGAGCTGCCAGCCCAGTCTAGTCACCCCTTTCACATACACATAGCCCTCTGACTGCCCCCTCCTGGAGGCAGAAGTCCTTCCCTTCTCCCTCAGTCTCTGCATAGTACTATAAAGGACATGTCTTGAAACTTTCATCTTTCCCTCTCATCTCTGTCTCTCTGAAATCGCTTCTTACCTCTCCCTTCTACCCTCCCTCCTTCCTTCTCTCACTTGCTGACCCTTTCTGACCCTTTCTCACATGCTAGGCCCAGGAGCACAGCTCCCCACAGTTCATGTCACCACAACCTGTAATGGCCTGGCCAGAGAGAAAACTACCAAGTGGAAGGGGAGCAGTCCCAGGGGGAGGAAGAGAGGCCCAAGACTTGCTTGCTGTCAGCCCTCAAAGGCTTAACCCAAAGAGGGCAGGCTTGGGGGACAAGTAGGGATCTGTGCAGCATGTGGGCACCATGCCAGACCTGGAGGCAGGGGAGGAGTCCAGAACCCACATGGCTGAAAGAGAGGATGCTTCTGGAACACCCCTACAACTCTCCAGATTATTTATGGTATAAGAGCCACCTTCTCTGTGGCTGTTCTCATTTTCTCCAGAACTAAGGAGAGTCTCTTGACCCCATACATCCTTGGGCACCTAGCACTATATTTCTTTCCTCTTTTTGCAGTCGCAACCTAATTCAGAACAATTTCACCTCTTGATTACGGTGCCAGCTAGCCCCAGCCTGACTCCCCCATCTCCCAAATGCATGCAGGCAACAGCCTTAGACTGCACCACACTCACCCTTGGCTGCCCACTAGTTCGTGCTCCTCTCTGCTAGGTGACTGACTCAGGGGCAGTTTTAGATCTCCCAATTTTAGTCCTGGTACCTACTTATACTACTTATACATTTGCACACTTCCATTTAGTCCACATCCAGACCCCCTCCTTGCCACCACTACTACTTTCCATTACTCATCACTGCTCCATTAGACCAAATCCACATCCCCTGCCTACCTTTCTAAGTGGGATGCCAATTTTCTACACCATCCACCCTCCAAATGCCCTCCTGTTTCCATTTGCCCCCATCCCCCAAGATCCCTGAGACTCACATAGAGAGGCCATCTCCTTGGGGAGGTCAGGTTGGCCCAGGCCCCGGAAGCTAGGGCTCAGCATCTCAAAAGGTGGAGACCCCCTGAGTGTCCCTGGGAAGGCAAAGGGGAAGCCTGCCCCTGGGTAGCCAGATCCTGGCCCCAAGGCACCAGCTGGGAAGAGTCGCTCCTTATTGGCGGCCATGGCAGCTGTGGTGTGGGAGTTCCAGGAGGTCTGCAGTGGGCGGGGGAGGTTTTCAGCCACAGCCCCCGCCCATGCCCACTGTCCCAGCCTGGGAGGCTCCGTGCCCACCCTGCCTGGCCTGCCCACTGGGTCTCCAAGAATCCTAGGGAAAAAGAAAGGGAAAGGAAAGGTGAGAGCATGATCACTTTGAGGTTCCAAACCCCATGACCCTCTCCCAGTTGGAGACTTCTCTCTTGTGCTGCCAGGTTTATATTGCCCTGGCTCAGGACCCTTGCCATGTGGTAGAAGGGGCAGGGTAGGGGGTTATGGTTATGCAAGCTCTGAGACCCTCTCCAGATTAGCTCCAGGGGAGGGCAAAACTGATGTCCCAAGGTGCATGATGGTCTGAGGACTTCTTGGGAGAAGACTCCTAGGGTGAGAAGTGGTCATCAAGCCCCAACGAGCTAGACATTGGCTTAACTACCCACATCAATCCTGTCAAGTAGGAATTATGATTTCCATTTCATAATGAGGAAAATAAGGTTAAGTAACTGACTTAAGGTCACATGGCTAAAAGTGGTGGAGCCAAGATTCTTACTCTTTACCACCCTGGAGAAAGTGAACGTATCTTTGTTATGACTTTGAGGCCCTGCACCTATCTGGAGAGGAGTAGGGGTGTCCAATCTTGTGGATTCTCTGGGCCACAAAGGAAGAAGAGTTGTCTTGAGCCACACATTAAATATACAAACACTAAGAAAAGCTAATGAGCAAAACATAAAAAGGTCTGTGCATAGTATATTTATTTAATTTATTTGTTTATTTATTTATTTATTTTTGAGAGAGAAAGAGTTTCACTCTGTGCCTTGGCTTGAGTGCTGTGGTGGTGTCATAGCTCATAGCAACCTCAACTCTTAGGGTCAAGTGATCCTTTTGCCTCAGCCTCCCAAGCAGCTGGAACTATAGGCATGCCCCACAACACCCAGCTGGTTTCTTCTATTTTTTTTTTTTTTT